CCAGAGCAGGAGCCCCGCTGAGGCCGTGAACCCGAGCAAGCAGAAGAGCAGCACTAAGAGAAGCCATGGGGCAGAGAGGTGGCTTCCTGGCCCACAGCAGCAGAGGCCAAGGGCCCATGAAGCTGAGGACCAGAGAGAAATGCCTGTCAGCATGGCTGAGAAGAGCTGCTTTGGACAAAAAACCTGCTTCCTTACTGTGTGTAACTTGTTAGCTTCCCCAGAAACCCCATAAAAACTCAGTATTGAGTTGTGTGTGGCCACTGCAGAGATGTAGATTAGTGTGGAGAAGTAGCTGGTGTTAGATTAGGGCAAAGAAAGGAGGAGGGTGGAGGCATGTCTGACCTCTGCCATACGGTTATTGGCCTTGGCCTGGTGTGGAGTTGGATTCTCTTTCTCCTTTGTATAGCTAGGAGTCCTCTGTGACCCCAACACCATTTCCTCACCTAGACTTTGAAGGTGGATGAGAGCAGAGTCTCATTTTCCTCCCTTGGAGAGAATGGTGGGTTTGAACCACTAACACTGCAGCTAACAGTCTAACACCTAGCCCACAGCACTACCCTGAACATTGCAATGCTTCTAACAATGTATTTCCTATCATTCCTCAGAATTTAAGACCCATCTTCCCCCATTCCTGTATCAGTAATTAACAAGGTGCAGTCCCCGGCAGGCAGAAAAAGCACCTGGGAGCCAGGCTTCTGACACAGCCTGGGTCGAATGGCGGCTTGTGCCCCTCTAGGTGATTGACAGCTGTGACAGACAAACGTGGCCGCTAATAAGATCAGCTGAAGTCAAACACCCAACACCCGTTACTCTGAGCTCAGACTGGAGCAGGGCGGTCCCTAACTCACTATGAGAAGAGGCAGAGACACAGGAAGGTGGCCAGATGACGAAGAATCACACCACAAACCAAGCAACACCAGGGGCCCTAACATTTGGAGAGAACAGGGTCTCGTCAACACCTTCACTGTGTACTTCTAGCCCTCAAAATGTGAGACAGTACATTTCCGTTCTTATAAGCCTCACCCAAACATTTAAGCCAGGCCACCTACCAATTTCCTGAGTCTTCAAATTGGCATATAGTCCACATACAGTGTTTTAAGCCACATTTTCGCCAGTGTTGTAGTGCGTTTATTTGCCGACACTCCCTCCCTATGTACGCGGGTGCGTCAAAAGGCGTTGCTGCCGGTTCCAGTTCACACAGGCACAGGTTTATTCCAAAGCAAGCCATTGAAACATGTCTGCAACCAGCGCATGGCTGCAGACAGACCTTGCGGTAAGGCTTTTTATCAGGACTTAAAAAAAAGGAACATCTTGGGCTCGGCAATCTCTGGGCGTGATGGGTGCAGCAAAACACACTGCTCAAAGACCAGCCACTCAGAGAGCTGATCCTCCCCCAGAAGGGAGATGGAAGTTAATGAACACTGTCTGGTGGCATGAATGACGTCCATCTTCCAGTAGGACCCAGAGAGCAAGGTCCAACCCAAACAGTGACTACGGAGGGAATCGACTGGGCCAGCTAAGGCAGAAGGCTCAGAAAGTTACAGTAACTGTTCCTCAGGATTGCCGAGGGCTCATCTCGATAGACTTCCTAAAGGACGAAGGACCATCACGGAGGCTTATGAGGAGTAGGTTTTAACACGGTTGAAAACTACATTGCTGAGAAACAGACCAAAAGAGTTGCGCCAAGGAAATGTCCCCACCACAGTATGCACCTGCTCACCCTCCCAGAACAGCCAAGTGTCCCGTGAGGGCGTCACGGAGACCCTGCACCTCACCCACCCCTGCCCCGCTCTCCAACACACTGCATTTCTTCTCAAACGCAGGGAGCATTTAAAAGGAGCTTGGTTTGAGTCTCTTGAGGATGTTGTCTAAACCGAAGCGCACAGAGTGCTTGGCGGGGGCGGGAAACAGGCACTAGACTGACGGGAGCGTCGCCCTCAGAAGCGTAGACTGACGGGAGCATCGCCCTCAGAAGCGCAGCGCCCGAGATGGAGGAGACGTTGAGAGGCGGCAGCTTCACATGTTGATCTTTCTGTTTAACGAAGGCAGTCATACTTTCTGACTGACCCCTGTGCTTGCTGCTTTGCAGAATCCCAATAGAAACTCTTCTTCTCCTCAAGGAAACAATGTCCTTTCTTCTTTTGTGTGAAATCCATAAAAAATAGAAACGACTCTGAAGAATTCAAACAATGACGGAAATCCAGATCTTTAATTTTCCAACTTAACCTTTATAAATAGGCAAATGAGCAAGGGTAGCATTATGTATTCTACATATAAAGGCTTTCTCTGCAGAATCTGTTTAATTCATTCTGTTTTTTATGATGCAATCTTAAAGCAACTAGGCACTGTGTTAATCTTTAAGCTTGGGAAACAGATTTGCAATAAGAAAAAAAAAAGAATGCTCCTATCCGTATTAAAAAGGAAAAAAAAAACACCTTTATTTTTATAGAAATTCAGAAAATTGATGTAGTTTCTAAGATGCCTACTTAATGAGGGGATATAAAAGGAAGACCATTTACAAATAGTTTTGCCCTTTTTTAGAATATAGTGCCTGAAAATTAATCAACAAAACAAACATGTGGTTAAGCATTCATTTATTGGAGGTAGCATATTTTATATGCTAATTAAAAGCAGAAAATATTTTTGAATTTTCAATTTGAGCAAAACAGGAATGTAAATAATCCAATGGAAAGCCTGTTGCAGTAAATCTTACCTAAAACCCAGCACTCCAGATGGCTCTTTACAAATGGCTTCACCCAACTGCACTGACAAGTCAGCGTACTCACTGTTGCTGGGTGACAGCAAGTACATCTGACTCCGAGTAACCTCGGGCGACAGAGTAGAGACACCACTCCCACAGGCCCTGTGCACAAACCCAGCAGTGACAGCACCGCCAAGGGAAAGGAGCGGAGAGCGCTGCCCTGGAGGAACCAGCCAGGGATGCCTTTACCACCACTCCTCTTTCAACGTGTGCTCCAAGTCTTCGCCAGAGCTACCAGGTAGCAAAAGGAAGTTACAGGCATCCAAATTGGCAAAGAAGTAAGATTCTCTCTACTTGTAGATGACAGAATCCTATGCAAAGAAACTCGCAAAGACGCGGCATGAAAATTGTTGAAACTAACTGAAAGGTTTGGCAACGTGGCAGGGTACGAGATCAACACAC